GGATTTATTTGTCTAACAAATGTTAGATCCCCTATTTCCAATATACTCTTCTGTATACCTATACAATTGTCCAATTTTGTAGTTACTGTTTTAGTTGATGTTATTATCTATGACTGTGTAATGAATAACTTCCAAATGTACTTGTCTAAAATAATATTCTTTTCTTATTTTCATTAATGGGAGCTTGGAATTGAGATGTGGCTTTTCTGGGTGTCTCCTACTCAGTTACTCACAAGGCTGCCATCAGCATCTGCTGTGGGTATAGGCATTTAAAGGCTTTTCTGAATTAGGTCTCCTAACAAACTCTCTCAGGATTCATGTGGCTATTGGCAGGTCAAAAGCTGCTGCCTAGCTGCATGTTTCTGACTGCATAAGTCTCTTCTTAAGGCAGCGCACAACATGACAGTCGACTCATCTTAAAGTGAGAAAGAAAGAGAGAGAGGAAAGAAAGAAAGAAAGAAAAAGAAAGAAAGAAAGAAAGAAAGAAAGAAAGAAAGAAAGAAAGAAAGAAAGAAAGAAAGAAAGAAATGCAGTGAGGGCCCCCAGGAAGTGTTGCCTGAACAGGGAACAGAGTAGGCCTTCAGTAAAGATCATTGAATGATTTCAGCTGCACGGTGGTTCCTTCACATGTGTGAGAAGGCCAGAGGTTGCTGTCCCTCTCGATCCTCAGTCACTCTCCACTTCTTTTTTGGGATAAGCTCTTTGACTGAACCCGGAGCCCACTGTTTGAGCTAATAAACACCCCAAGAGCCCTGGGAAAGGCACATGGGTCCTCAGGAGTAACAAGGATCATGTGGCGTCAACACACTGGCTGAAGGTCTCCGTGAAGCGCACAGTGCAGCTCTAATGCCTGCCCTCCATGGCCAGGGTCACTGCAGAGAGACCAGCAAACCACACTCAGGCCTTCTCCACGGAGCTGGAGGGAGCAGAGGAGTTAACTGGGGAAACTGAGGAGTCCTCTCAAGGACCGCAGGGCCTGAGCCTAGTCCCACTGGCTAGGTGTGTGGCTTTTGATGCTGTGGACTGCCTTGGATCTGGCCACTTCCTGGACGACCCCTGGGAACTGCACTGGCAGAGTGTGATCAGCTGTCCCAGCTGCTGGGCTCAGATTCCACGCGCAGAAAGCACAGCCGAGGAGAAACAAAACTCCCAAAGCGAGCGTCCCCTTCCTTCGGCCTCCCCCGGTTCTGTTTCTCTTATATATGTATAGAAAATGACACAATCGAGGTGGGGTCTGTGTGTGTGTGTGGGGGGGTCACTGTCTAAGACCAGTGTGCACTGTCAACTGTTCAGGCTGCAGGTCACAGACGTCTGCCTCTCTCTCTCCTCTCTCTCCAGGCTGAGGAGTCCTGTAAATGTAACGGCTGGAAGAACCCCAACCCCTCTCCCACCCCTCCTAGAGCCGACCTCCCGCAAATAATCGTCAGTCTGTCGGAACCCTGCCGGAGCTGTAGCCATGCCCTGGGTGAGTTCCCGGATCTTCCAGGAAACAGGCCGCACTTACTGGATTATGTTGGCGAACCAGACTTGAGTGCCACTTCCTCTGTATGAGGTCACAAGGGCCTCCCCATCTCCCAAGTTTGCCGGGCAGGGCTTCATGGGTGAGGCAAACCCCACTTGTCTGCCCTGATTCTTAGCCATGCACAAGAGCCGGGATGCATAGAGGGTTGCAGCAGGACAGAGCTGACAGCTTTGCTTGGAGGGTGAATGATGAGGAATGCGCCCGGTTTGTTCTGGTGGGGGCCTGCAGACTCCAGGGTGGAAACCCCAACTGACTGGATATCTGTATACTAATAACCACGATGACCGTTCTCCGAGCTTTCGGGGGCTGCTTGGTCATTTGCTCCTTCCTCGTCCCCTGGCCCCAGGGGTACGTGCTTTGTGGGAGTCATTTGTCACTGTGTGGTGAACATTTTCTTGTCTTTTCAACTTCCTTTTTTCATCTATTTTTTTTAATTCTTTGAGAATTTCATAGGCTGTATTTTGATCATATTCAGCCCCCACCCCCAGCTCTTCCCAGATCACCCTCCCTTTTCAACTTAACTGACCCTGTGAGAGAATCATCACCTGGGAAGACTGACTCTACCAGTGACTTAATAGATCTAAGCGAATCTGTTATTCCCTAGTTCTGGCCTTAGGATAAATTTCTTCAGTCTCTTTCTGATGCTGAGGACGAAACCCAGGCTTTGCACATGTTAAGCACATGCATGCCACTGAGTTACCTTTGCAGCTCCAGGATGATCTCCCTCCCTCCCTCCCTCCCTCCCTCCCTCTCTCCCTCTCTCCCTCCCTCCCTCTCTCCCTCGCCCCCCTTCCCTCTCTTTTGGGACAGGGTCTCACTGTGTAGCCAGATTGACCTCAAAATCATGATCCTGGCCCTGAACTCACTGTGTAGAACAGGCTGGCCTCAAACTCACAGAGATCCGCCTGCCTTTGCCTCCCAAGTGCTGGAATTCCAGGTGTATGCAAAACTGTTTTTGAAATCACCTTTTATTTCAGAGGCTAAAATTTAATGGGGAATTAGTTGTTCCTTGATATTAACATTCCAAGTGTAATCATTACCCTTACTTTTCTGCCTGTGCCAAAGGTCACAAGTCCAGTTGACAGTCCAGTGTTGCAAGGACAGGGCACTGGGCAGAAGGTGATCACTAACTCCTCCCTCCATCAGGATGGCCTCAGATTCATCACTCAGGTGACCTTCCTGCCTCAGCCTCCCAAGTAGTAGGGACTTAGAGGCATGTACCGCAGTACCGGGCTCTAGGCTGTTGTTTTTCTTTTTAAAGTAGCCAGTGCAAAGGAACGATCCCAAAAGCTAGGGAGCTGTTGTCTTAGCTTATAATTTGCCAGTTTTACAATCCATCCCCCCAGTGAACAGACTGAGTGCCCTTAGAATCGCCTCGGGAAATATGATGCAACACCTAGTTGAGCTCAAGAAACCAACCTTTCAGCCTTGGACTTGAACTGTATCCCGTATTGATTGGGAAATCCTGTTATCCCACACAAATTACCATTTGAAAACAGGATCTTTTTCTCCCTAAGCTGGCGTTCATCTCCTGGCTTGTAAGCACATGTGCACGCCAGAAGGCAGACACAGTGGTAGAAACCAGCCCACTTAGTTTTCTTTCTTGTTTCTTAACAAGCTTTGGAAACAGATGCCCTTATTTGCCAATACATAACGAAGACTGAAAAAATACATATTTTATTTTATTTTATATTTTGGTCTTCAGTGCTAGGTAATCCAGCTGATGACTTTGTACAAGTTAGGCAAATGTTCTGCCACTGAGCTGTACCTCGGGGGGATGGGGATTGAGGTCGATCCATATCCTCTGAATTAGCAAATTCATGCCTGAAACTTTTTAAAGATTTGTTTATTATTTTTATTTGTGTGTGTGTGTGTGTGTGTGTGTTTGCACACACGTGTACTTCTCATGAGTCTGCAGAAGCTTCTGGGCTTCAGATCCCCTGGAACCTGAGTTATAGGTGCTTATGAGATGTCTGATGTAGGTGCTGGAAACTGAACCTGAGCCCTCTACAATAGCAGTAAGCACTCTTAAACACTGAACAATCTCTCCAGCCCCTCATGCCTGAAATTTAACCTATGCATGAATTAGGATATGCTTCAAGTTAACTGAAAAGTAGATTTTTAAAATGTAGTGATTTGGGACTGGAGAGGTAGCTCAGTGGTTAAGACCACTGACTGCTCTTGCAGAGGACCAGATTCGATTTCCAGCACTCACATGGCAGCTGACAATTGTCTATAACTCCAGTTCCAGGGAATCTGACATCCTCTTCTGACCTCCGCGGCATTGTACTTCACAGATGCACTTACACACATGCAGGCAATATATTCATACAGATAAAATAAAAATAAATAAAACATTAAATATATCGATTTATGCTAGGAGTAGTAGCATATGCGTTTAATCCCGGCACTTGGGAGGCAGAGGCAGGCGGATCTCTGTGAGTTCTGAGGCCAGCTTGGTCTACAATAGCAAGTTCCAGGACAGTTGGGGCTACAGGGAGACCCTGTCTCAAAAAAAGAAAAAAGTTCAGTTTGACCCCGTCAAATTCAACTTAGAAAATGCTGACAGGACCCTGACGGAGCACTTCGGCTGATCCCTGCATTTCTTCTTACTTTAGTATTAGTATAATTTTCCGGCTGGGTATGATGAGTGTGGGTCTCTCCCTCTCCCAAGATCTCTGTGAGTTCAAGGCCAGCCTGGTTTACATAGCGAGTTCCAGGACAGTTGGGTATAAGCCACAGAGAGACCCTGTCTCGTTCAATCCAAAAAAAAAAAAAAAAAAAAAAAAAAAAAAAAAAAGAAAAGAAGAAACAAGCCATCAGAACACGCAGTTCCTGTTGTTCTGGGGCCCACTGTTCAGAGGTGCCAGCAGCTGGGATCAGACTCTACTGGTGGTTGGCTTTGAACTTCTGGGCACCCTGGGTGCTTTACTGGGAGGAAATCCAGACCTATGGCAGGGCGTCAAGGGTTGTTGGCAGAGCACGGTGAGCACGGTGGCCGTTGCCAGGCAATCCTGATCCTTCCTACCTAACAACTAGACTTGGTAGAGAAAATAGAAGTGTTCTTAAAGGTCTGTCGCACTGTTTCACTTGTGTAATTACAGTTATATACCTGTTACTTTTCTGACTGTGATTAAGGACTGAGCTTTTCCTCAGGTTCAGAATCTATTTCATTCCTTGTGTAGAATTGGGTTTATTCCTTCACTGATAGCTATTAAATTCAATAATGACACACGCAAGAAGGACTAGCAGGGGTGGTTTCACAGTTTAGAATCTGCATGGGCAGCGTTTGACATGCACCCTGTGTATGGCCAGCAGCACTGGAGATGTGGCTCATGGGAACTGACTTGAGCTTCAGGCATAAAACGCATGCTGGCCTTGAAGACTTCCTATGGCAAAAGAACATAAAATATAAACAGTTTTATAGCTGGGCGTGGTGGCGCACACCTTTAATCCCAGCACTCGGGAGGCAGAGGCAGGCGGATCTCTGAGTTCAAGGCCAGCCTGGTCTACATAGTGAGTTCCAGGACAGCTGGGGCTATAGGGAGACCCTGTCTCAAAAAGACCAAAAAAAATATATATATATATATACATATGTATATATGTATGTATATAAACAATTTTAAAATCTGGGGTACTTAACAATGGCAATATTTTGACATATTATCCTAAATATATTATTAAAGTTATTAAAGTGAATCGCATCTATGTCTTTTACCTCTTTTAAAAAAATACTAAAAAAATTTTCTTTTGACTTTTTTTTTTTTTTTTTGGTCTTTTTGAGACAGGGTCTTCCTCCCTAACCCCATCTGGCCTGGCACTTACTATGTAGACCAGGCTGGCCATGAACTCACAGAGATCTGCCAGCCTCTGCTTCCCAAGTGCTGGGACAAAAGGTGTGTGCCACCACGCCTGGCTGAACCACAGCATCCTTTAATGCAGTTATGGATTCATTTAAATTAAATGCATGTTCCCATGTGTTTCTGTTGGACCATACTTCTCTAATGGGCTCTATTAGATGACTCTCCCCACCCTCCACTTAAATCCGTGCTTGTGAGACAGAAACCACTTTTCAAAGGTCAGTCTTTTGCCCATTAGTCTGTTCTACACTTTCATTGCAGGCATTGACTTTACTTCTATCCTCGACCACAAGTTCCCATAGACTAAAGCGATTTGGGCGATTTGTGCCTCTTTCACACTGTGTAGCACAGTTGGGCGATTTGTGCCTCTTTCACACTGTGTAGCACAGTTGGGTGATTTGTGCCTCTTTCACACTGTGTAGCCAGTTTGTGCTTCTGTTCCAAAGGAAAAGGGACACATTTGCTTCCTTCCTAGCTGTGCCATGCGATGCAGGGCACCAGAGGCCTGGCAGACTGTCTTTGTGAGAAGTGCAGGCCAGTGATCATTGAACTGGATCTTAGCGCACAGTGTCCTGGAGCTGTTGGTCCCCTACAACGCATCAGCTGCATGTGATGCTCAGCAGGCATGCAGTGGGCTCACCCTGTGACACCCTGGGGTGTGTTATGTGACATAGCACTGAGAGGTACCAAGGAACACCCTCCTGGAGAGATGTCACAAGATGCTCAGCTTCCCCCGGCCCCTGAGGTATGCCTACCCTCCATACGCAGTGGACTCTGAGGCATGTATAGAGCTCCATGCTTAGTAGCAGGCTCTTGGAAGACTGTTTAAAATAAAAGCAGTCAATTAATTTGACCATCAATTCAGGTGGAAAAATTCAGGTAGATTTAAAAGATTAGCTGTGTGTGGTGGTGCACGCCTTTAATCCCAGCACTCAGGAAGCAGAGGCTTTGTAAGCTCGATGCCAGCCTGGTCTACATAGCGAGTTCCAGGACAGCTGGAGCTACCTGGAGACCCTGTCTCAAAAACACAAATAAATAAAATAAAATAAAAAGAGTAGCTAGATGTGATGGTGCAGCATCTTT